GGAAAAGGAGAACAGGCAAGAGAAGAAAGGAGAAGCAGGAGCAGGAGCACACGTTCTTATACAAGTGTGAAGTTCTTATCCAAAATTACACAGAGTTTGCACAGAGTTTGCAAGAGTAGGGCTATTTTCAATAGTATGGATTCCTCATTAGTAGAGAGGAAAGTTACAGGAACCTGATGTCACAGAAATATTTTTCATATTTGCTGTTAATTTTTTTTTCCTGGTACCAGGAACCAAACTCAGGACTCTGTGCTTGCTAGGCAGGCGCTGTGCCACTGGCCTATACAGCCTTGGCAGTCAGTGTGCTCTTCTAAGAAGTATCTCTGAGTTACTTCCCTGAGATGCACACAAAATGCAACCTGCTCCCCTCCCACTGCATACATACATTTTCTATTATTAATGTATTTTTATTTAGTTTACTCTCACAAACTAAAATTCTCTGGAGAAGATTTAAAAAATAGCTCTACCCTACAGTCTTCTCCCCTAGGCCTGTAGCTTCGGATGGAAACCACTTAGAGTCAGGACAGCCTAGGGCTATCCTCGCCCTGGCCGTGACTTAGGAAGCAACTCAGTGACTTAGTTCCCACTGATGCCAGGGCAATGCTCACTATAACAAAAGATGGAACTGAGATCTTTAAAGAAGTAGGAATCAATCAGCCTGTGGTAAGTCCATAAAAACGTGACTAACTTGTGTGCAGCTGGCTCATTAGTTTATACAGTCATCTTCCTGCCACTTGCATCTAACCACTTGGATTCAAATGTGCATTGCTCTGGGTGACTCCGCATTTACTGAATCCTGACAAATGTATCTGCTCCTTTAAACAACAGCCAAAGCCGACAAATAGAACGTAAGCACTAAAATGCATGCTAAAGGGGATTGCCACTTGAATACAGATGGAATAAAATTAATGCTGGCAAATGACACCAGACTGCTGACTACAGAGGCTGAATCTGAAATCACAATAAGCAGGGGAGCAGCGTACTTCTTACAGGGTACGCTTACCTGCCCCTCTCCCTCTGCACACTCACGTTAAGGTCTTTCATTACTCCCATGCCAACTGGGGAAAACAGAAGGCAACGTGTGTCATCTGCCCCACTTTACTAACAAAGGCTGGAACACTCTTCTTGAACTAAAACACACAGGGGTAACCGGAATTTCAGAATGATTCATGGGAAAGGACCAGAGAGGTCAGTGCCCCTGCGATGATGTTGACTCTATGGAATGAATGACTGATTCCTGGCCCTTTTGAGGACACTGATAAAAATATCAGCTAGCTTTAGCATTGTAATGGTGTGGAAACGCTGACCTGCTCAGTTTTAAAAGAAGAGAGCTCCCCTCAAATGTCTATAAAGATACTTTCTGTTTTAAAAGAGAACTTCTATCATGAAACTGTATGACGTATAAAAATGTGGTCCTACCAAAAATATGTCCAAAAAAACGAGTATTTCTGGGGCTGGGGAGATAGCTTGGCAGTCTAAGCAGCTGCCTGGTAAGTGCAAGGTCCCAAGTTCAATCCCTAGTCCTGCATGCCATCCCAGCCCCAGAACCCCAGATACGCCATGCAGGCCCCAAAACCAGGTGTGGTGGCACGCGCCTGTAATCCCAGTGCTGAAGAGGCTGAGACAGGAGGATCACCATGAGTCCAAGTTACGTAGTGAGACCCCGAACCAAATAGAGAAAGAAAGAAAACTAAAAATAAATATATAAATAAAATTTCTGAGAAAAAAACAATGTAGACTCGAGATCTGCTTTCTGTATTATCATCTAGCAACTAGAGAGTTCACTGTTTTTTGTTGCTGCTGTTGTTGTTATCCACACAAATCCCATTGGCTCATTTATTTTTCTCTAAGTTTATACAGGTGAACTAAAAAATCTGAAAGAACAGTGCTGGTAATAGAGAAAGGCTCCTATTACCTGAGGATAAATTCCAAACCAAGAATACTAGCCACAATTACCTCTGTAGGTATCCGGTTCTACCCAATTCAGAGGAACAGGCCAAAGAACCCAGACTCAAAGAGCTCTACCACTAATCTCCTTCCCGTCTATAGTCTTCCCTCTCCTCCACTGATTCGTTTCAAGAGTCCTCTGCGTACCTCTTCATCAGTTCCACACCACACAGCCCTCTCTCAAT